GATGGAATCCCAGCCCCCCTCGAAGAAGAAATCCTCAGTGCGCAAGTACTCGGCTAAGAGCCGGAACTCGTCGGGCTCGAAGCAATCAATGACGGGGATTTGTCGGCGTCTTGATCAAGATCTGGGCTCCATGTCCCGCTCGGACCCCCATGTTGGCTCTCCTGCTGTGCGGTCGCCTGCCATCCGTTCCCCGGTGTCCACAACCCGTAAAGGTAGACGGGTGGCGCACTCTGGTGGTTCTATCCTGGAACGGGCGGAGAAGCGGGTTGCGGCGAAGGACCTCCCTCCCCCAGGTACCTCCCCATCCTCATTTGCCGCTGTTTCTCCGGTTCGGGTGGTTTTATCTTCGATGTCTGATGATCATCTTTTAAACATTATGTCGGATGTGGGTGTGGTGGTCGATTCTTCTGTTGGTTCTCCTAGTTCGCTTTTTGCCATTATTCGGGCTAATGAATTGGCTCAGGCAGCCATTGCGAAAGCCAAAGAGGCTGTTGCCTCGCGGGTCGCGGATGCTGGCTGTGCTGCGGGGGAGGCTTCGGGTGCTGGTAGTGGCCAGCCCCCTTCCTGCCCTGCCAAGAGGGGCGCTAATAAACGTTCTAAATCCTGCATGGCCCCCTGCAGGTCGACTCTCCGTATCAAGAACCTGTCGTATAAATGAGGGCTTTATTCTGGAATATAAGGGGGTTCGGTGCTAGGGGGCGCCGTGACCAACTTAAAGATTTGGTTCGTTCTAACTCTATTGATTTTGTGGGGCTGGTTGAAACTTTTAAGGATTCCTTCTCCCCTAGTGAGCTCTCTGCTATCGTGGGTATGGATAGATTTCATTGGCAATTCTTACCTGCTTCGGGACACTCTGGCGGGATTTTGATTGGCTCTAATAAGGATATTTTTGATTTCGTTGCTTTTGATCATGGGTTTTTTGGGCTAGTGTTGTTCTGTCTCACAAATCTATGAATACCCTCTGTGAGTACATCGTTGTTTATGGGCCTGCGGACCACTCTCTGTTGAACCTTTTCCTTAATGAACTCTCGACCAAGATTGAGTCTTGTACTTTACCGATGGTTATTGGGGGAGACTTTAACTTGCTGCGTTGCCCTCTTGACAAGAATAATAATAATTTCTCTTGGTCTTTAGCCAATGCTTTTAATGACTTCATTAGTGCTAACGCCATTCATGAGCTTCCTCGGGGGGGAGCTCGCTTTACTTGGTCTAATCATCAGGCTAACCCTATTAGATCCGTGCTGGATCGTGTTTTCCTTGGTCCCAGGTGGGACCTGTTCCCTAGGTCTTATCTTCTCGCTAAATGCATTGTCGGGTCTGATCATACCCCCTTGATTCTTGATGATGGTTCCATCTGCAATAGACCTCCGGCTAGATTTCAGTTTGACGCTTCTTGGCTGTCGGTTGACGGCTTTGTCGATATGGTCGCTGCGAAAATTTCCCACTCCCTTTCCTCCAACCTCCGCTCCTTTGGCCCTCTGGATGACTGGCATTCTTGCTCCTATTCCCTTCGCAAATTTCTTAGAGGGTGGTCGCGTAACCGTGCGGCGGAGGATCGACGCCCCAAAGCCTTTCTTGAAAATTAGATCCTGGAGCTGGATCGTACTGCTGACTCTATTGGGCTCTCTGACGATGGATGGGCCGTTCGTTATAATCTGGAGGCTGCACTTTTGCAGCTGCACCATCAGGCTGAGATTTACTGGCGCCAGAGGGGCACTCTTAATTGGACACTCAAAGGGGACGCTCCTACTGCATATTTTTTTGCGAATGGGAACGGTAGGCGTAGGCGCTGTGACATTAACAGTTTGATGATTAATGGTCTGCGCTCCTCTGATCAGTCGGTGATTCTAGCTCATGTAGTGGATTTCTTCTCGTCTTTGTTAGGGGCTAAACCTCAATCGGGCTTGTCCATTTCCCCCCACCTTTGGAGTTCTGGTCTTAAAATTTCCCCCGAGGAGAATGCCTCCTTGATGATCCCGCTCTCTGATCAGGAAATCTGGGACGTGGTTAATTCTGCTAACCCCAATGCAGCATCTGGGCCAGATGGCTTTTCCATTCCTTTCTTTCGAAGATTTTGGGCCCAGTTGAAACAGTTGGTGTGTAGCGTTATTCAGGGTTTCTGTCTTGGGACTGTCGATATCTCTCGTCTGAATTACGCTGTAATATCCCTGATTCCGAAGGTCAAAGGTGCTGATGTTATTTCCCAATTTCGGCCTATAGCGTTGATTAACAACTTTGCCAAATTCCCTTCCAAAGGCTTTGCGAATCGGCTGTCCCCGGTTGCGCATAGAGTTATTAGCCCCTTTCAATCTGCTTTTATCAAAGGGCGATTCATTCTTGATGGCATTCTTTCCCTTCATGAGATTGTTCACGACCTTCACGCGCGGAAAGCTAAAGCAGTTATTCTTAAGTTAGACTTTGAAAAAGCGTATGACTCGGTCAGTTGGCCTTTCCTCAAGCAGGTCCTTCTTGCCAAAGGGTTCGACGGTGCTTATGTCCATCGTATCATGCAGTTGGTCTCGGGTGGCCATACTGCTGTTGCAGTGAATGGCGTTATTAGTAACTTCTTTGCGAATGGCAGGGGCCTTCGCCAAGGGGATCCAGCCTCCCCGGCTCTCTTTAACTTTGTGGCCGACGCCTTCTCTTGCATGCTCTCCAAGGCGGCCCGTTGTGGGCACATTACCCCCGTGATCTCCCATCTTCTGCCGGAAGGTGTCTCCCATCTGCAATACGCTGATGATACAATCATATTGGTGGAGTTGGATAATGCCTGTATTGCCAATCTTAAATTCATCTTGCTGTGTTTCGAAGCTGTTTCGGGTCTGAAGATCAATTTCGCCAAGAGTGAGGTTCTGGTGACGGGTGTGGACGGGGCGGAAGCCTTGCGGGTTGCCAGGCTCCTTAATTGCGCTTTAGGTTCTTTCCCTTTCAAGTATTTAGGACTTCCTATCTCTCCTGGTATTCTTCATGCGAAGGACTTCGCTCCGGTGGTTGCTAAAGTAGGAAACAGGGTGCTCCCGTGGAGGGGTAGATATAATACCAATGCAGGCAAAGTGGCTTTAATCAATTCTTGCTTGTCTTCTCTCCCTATGTTTCTTATGGGCTTCTATCTTCTCACGAATGGCGTGCATTCTGGCTTTGACAAACATAGGGGTGGCTTCTACTGGAATTCAGCTGATAACAAAAGAAAATATAGGCTGGTTAAGTGGCAACTGATGTGTAGGCCTAAAAACCTTGGGGGGTTAGGCATTATTAACACTCGGGTGATGAACATGTGTTTGCTCATCAAGTGGTGGTGGAAAATTATGACTGTGGGGGCCGGGTTGCTGTGGTTTTCGATTCTTAAGGCCAAATATTTCCCCCACTCCGATCCTATGTTTGCTCCCGCGCGGCGTGGTTCTCAGTTCTGGAAAGCTCTTGTTAAAGTTAGGCCGATTTTTTGGAGCATGTCAAGTTTTCTATGGGAAATGGGTCTGTTGTTCGTTTTTGGTTGGATTGGTGGTCTGGGGATGCCCCACTTGCCGTGAGCTTTCCGATTCTGTTTTCTTATTGTCCCAATCCGCAGATCTCCATCGCGGAGCTGGCTGCTAATAATTGGGATTTGGCTTTCCGTCGGGCTCTGTCTCCTGAAGAGTTGGAAGATTGGCAAAGCCTCTCTGCCCTCTTCCCCGTGCTCTCGGAGTCAGCTGACTCGGTGTTTTGGCCACTTTCGGCCTCTGGTAAATTTTCTGTTAAGTCGTTGTATTCTAGACTCATTGGTGGTACCCCCTCGGCTAGATTCTCTTGTGTCTGGAAATCAAGTGTTCCTCCGAAAATTAAGATTTTTCTCTGGCAGGCCTTTCGTGGTCGCCTCCCTACTGCTGATCAGATCAAAAAACGCAATGGGCCGGGCTCTGAATTCTGTAACCTGTGTGGGGCCTTGGAAAATTCCGACCACATCTTTTTCAACTGTGTACTTGCCAAATTAGTTTGGTCTTGCGTCAAATCTTGGCTTCGGGTTTCTTGGAATCCCTCCTCTTTTTCTGATATTAGAACTCTAGCTAAAACTTTGGTCGGGGTCACCAAGAGGGTATTTTGGGTTGGCTTGGGAGCCTTATGCTGGGCCTTATGGAATATTAGAAATAAATTTACTATTGAGCTTACCTTCCCATCTAAACCTGCTGATGTTCTATTCAAATCATGTATATTCTTGCAGCAGTGGAGACCATTGACTAAGGAGCCTGATCGGGACGCCCTGGACCTGCTCATCAACAAAATTCGGGCTTCGGCTTCTCAGATATCCGGGACGAACCCTGCCGTATAATTTGGTGCTGTCGTTTGCAGACATTTGGTCTTTCTCCTCCCCGGCCTGCGCGCTGTGTATGGCAGTTGCCTGTATCATGCTTGCTTAGGTTTCTCTTAAACTCCTTTGTGTGGTTATGATTTCCTGTGAACCTGTGGTATCCGTGACGCTGCCTGGTGGGTTTATCTATAAAGTCAGGCCTTGGCCTTTTCTCTAAAAAAACAAGACGAGTCCCGCCGATGACCAACCTATAGCCTGAACAACAACTCTTCAGTTTCATTGACGGCACTGCGAATTCAGCAGAACCCACGCCAGCCCATACAAAAACTGGAGATGTTGGCTCAGCTGGAACCAATGCTCAGAGCTGCAACACCAAGATCAACACAAATGAAAGAGAACATGACCATCAAAAAGCGAGTATCTCATGGCCTCCGCAATCCGAAACTGGGATGACTGAGCATGTAAGGAGGCAAGTACTTGAAAACTAGTCTGGATAAATAGTCAGCTATAGATAGTATTCTCAACAGCCTACATTTCACGACCAAGAGTCTCTGGTACAATTTTCACCAAACAGTTTATAACTGAAAAAGAAAAGGCAAACAAGACTCTTGAATCCATCCCACATGGGAAGAGCGAAGGTTGGGCGCCAGAAGCAGAGCCACTGTTCAACAGTAAGACACAGCACCAAACAAATGAGTTGTCCATCATGATGCAGATTTTACACCACCCCAGAAGGAAGTCGCAGCACTAGTTGTCCACCAGCAAGACTGCACAACAACAATTCACTGGTTAACACATGTTAAACGGTTTGCCAAAGTGATAGCAGATGCTAAGATTATGTACCTCTTCACATAGTAGTAGCAGAAATCTGCAAGGATGAACGTCTGGACGATTTCAGAGAGGAGAACCATCGATGGCCAAAAGCCATAGCCCAGAGCAGTCAATAATCTGCCACGAGTATCCAAGACCTAAAAAGGCGAGTACCATTACTTGGTTTAGATGGACCCACACAGTCATGAATGAATTCTGCAACATGGATATAGTCTACTATATTTTCAAACCCCATGGATAAGCATGCTATTATTCCATGCATTAAAAGTAACATATTTCTTAAACAATGATGCAGCCAAGTGTGCAGACACTGAGAAGATACCGATACCATCCAACATGCAACTAGGTAAAATTATGATTTCCTAGGATATGTTAAATCAGGCATGAACATGGGTGGTCATGATGGCAACAAATGGAAAATTTACCTCAATAAAAAACATTTGATTACGTGAACTTCTACTTAATGGTGTAAACAGTAAACATCAGTGAGAGATACCATTTTATTTTATGTGTGTAGTAAAACTATGTTTTCACTGTTCTGCTTTGTTCACCAAAGTATCTGGACTTTCTACCACTCTTTTGGAATATTTCATTATGTGTCGTCAGAAGGCAGTTTGTATTGGCGCTTTGGCGTAACAGAGACTAAAATTGTACATTTTAAATAAGAAAAAGATAGAGTAAAGAACCTGAAGGACCCAGTGTGCACAGCTAAGGAACCTTGCCACTCCCAATGCAAACACATAATGAGCTGTGAATGGTTCAACAATCTGCTCAAAAACATATCTTAAAGTTAGATAAATTTGACCGTTCAATTCTGCATCCAAGGGCCTATGTATGTTTTAACAGTTACCTTTGTATTCTGCATCAAGCGCAACTGGGGCAGCACTGAAACAGCTTCCAAGTAAACACAGAAGGCCCAGCAGATCCTATTGATCATGATATGTGATGTCGAAGGATGAGCAATAAATGCCAGCACACAACATGGTACAACCTGGACAGTAAGTCTAGTGAGTTGGTATTGGCGGCAATAAGAGGAAGTTCACAAGATAAACAGATTAACATGCAAAACTAGCTACCACAAGGGGCAAGGATACAACTCTTTCTAAAAGTGATACTGACATCTTGTGGACCTACAACATACAACCAGGAAATAAGACTCCCTAATCAACTAATGTCTAATGGCCTAAATCCTCACAGTTTTATAGTTTATAGATGTTGAATTCTTACCACGTAGTACAATGCAAAATTGTCCTTGTCCAGCATATAAGTTGACCTCAGTCTGAACCGAATCATGTAAATGACAAAAAGAGTAGCTACTAGTGTAGCTGAATCCAGTATTGTATGGATGTCATACTCCATAACAAAGCTGCAGTACAACCTAACGGCCAGGAACAGTGCTGTCAAATCCTGAGACTTGAGTGAAAGTCCTGCGAGAATTTAAGAAAGAGGGGAAGTTAGAGCATGTATATAGATTACAAAGCAATTGTCACGATCAAACTACACCAAAGAAAAAATAAGCAAGTTTATCACACTGATATGGCAGTTAGTGTGTTTTATTACAGCAGATCAGTCATCTGTATGCACTTCACTATCAGTAGAGACCCAGTTTCTTGTTAATGAAAGCATGGTACATAGATTCCATTATGTAAGAAACTTTATTACTCCCTCCGATCCGAATTAAATGACGCAACCTCTATACAATGTAAAGTACCAGAGATATGTGAGAAGGCAGATTCTGTGACCATACAAATTATCCATGTGCATAGCTGTATACAAAATTTTCAGAGCTTGAGCATAGAAATTTCCTTGTATCTTGTATCAGGTGATGAAACAGAAACCTAATCATAACATTCAAACAGCTAAGACAGGCAGCAACATGAGCAGCAGACACACTAAGAAAAACCGAAATCCTTTAGTGACATGCAGAAAAAAAAGAGGAGTGGTTCATGTTTCTTAATATCCACAGTTACCTAAACCCCAGCAGCAAACATAAGAGCAGATCAACTAAAAATTCCTAGCTCACTGTCTAGAAGAAGGAGGATGCTGCTGCTTTGGCTTCCGTTTCTAGCTCTGCTTGAGCTGCTTCGTTTCACGAAGAAAACATGCATCTTAAACAGACGAAGAACAAAGGAGCTCACTTTCCGCAAAGAAAACATGCATCTTAAACAGGCGAAGAACAAAAGGGGCACACATATGTTCCTAATAAGGATCAGAAACACAAATTACAAGAATGGAATGATGCTGATGTTGTATGAACAACATGTTTGTTGGTTCTTCTTCTCATGCAAATAGTACCATCCACGGACCCTTTTTTCATCAAAATAGCATCTAGGGACAAAGTCATTCCAACAAATAAAGCAGGAAAGTTTCTTACGAACAGCAAGTCCATGAGAGAGACAGGTGTTCCAGTAGGGACTGGACTGAAGCGCCAAGAGATGAAATGGTCCAAACAAACACTTTATGCACTATCACATACACCATACTGATCAGAACAATCTGCTAGAATCTTATGGAACCACATTCATAGAACGAGCATACAGCATGAATTGCCTGCATTTCGCAGCAGGGCCTCTAAAGTACACAGATGCAGCTACAGACACGCGAACGGGGCAGGGCAGTTGGATGGAACAGGCACATGCTTTTTGCTCACTTTGCACACATTCAGCGAAATGACCACACAAGAATTTCAGCGTTCCCCAAATCAGCATGTACGGAGTAGTAATATTCCACTTCCTTGCAATGCACCACGCAGCGTAAGTCGCAGACAGTGTCCAAGTAACAGTTACCTCATAGCAAAACAGTGGATTAATAATTTCATATGCCTCACCCCCACAAAAGAACAGAAGTACCTAGGTCCGAGGATAAATCAGGTTCATGATTCCAAAAGGAAAGAAAAAAATCCATATGTTTTCAGCACAAAGGTGACCCAGAAAGGAAGGAACTTTGGAAAAATCAGATCAGACCGCGGTGAAGTGAAGCTAGCTGGACGGATCGAGAGGATAGCTTTGGGGAAAGAGGGGGCAACAGAAGAGAAGAGAGCGAACCAGCGCAGGTCTTCTCCTTGGTGAGCTTGTAGATGAGCACGGCGATGCCGAGCGCGTGCGCGGCCTCGGCGGCGACGAAGAGGTTGTCGTGGTCGTGGACGATGAAGCGGATGAAGACGAGCGCGGTCATGCCCGCGACGACGGCGAGGAAGGCCTTGACCTTGGGCGGCTGCCTCCGCACCCAGCTGAGCACGACCGCCATCGGCCTCCGCGGCGCCCTCATCTCGGAGCTCCTCCCCGCTGCTCTGCTAGACTGCTACCGGCGGCGAGAGAGCACGATCGGAGAAGGGCTTGTGTTGGGTGCCCGTGCAGCGCGTGCGGTGCGGCGTGAGCGGTCTGGGTCTGGGTCTGGCCTTTGGTTTTGCAGGAGAGGAGGATGGATGGGTGCGGTACTGATACTGTGGTGGTGGAGTAAAGGCCCGGACGGGTCGGGCTGGGTTTGGTGCAGCTGCAACCGTTTCGTGTCGTCGCCTCGGGAGATCAGGCAGGTTACCTTTTTTTTTTTTTTGAGGCAGGTTGCTAGTATATGGAAACGTAGGATAAATGCGATGCTTATCTTTGCTTTGATTGATGAGTCACCGCTTCATAGCAGATTTTGGTAGTATTATAACTCGCCTCCTTTTTCCAATTAATGGATAGATAGATAGGCAATAGAATAAACGCAATTAATCCGTATTTGCATTTGAGGATATGCTTCCTACTAGTGCGAGTTTGGTTCGCGTAGGTGGGGGGTCCGGCGTGGCGAGTGGGTCGGTCGATTCGATGGGAGTAGGCCGGGTTAAGCCATCTGACCGATCTACCTGAACCGATTGGCTGAGCTGAACGATCCGGTGTGTTGACTTGAGCGTGTTGGAATTGTTAATGCGCCCCGAGGACCTAGCGCGGAGTGGGGAGGGCGCGACGACGGCGACTCGCACCGCACGGAGGCCTCGAGGACCGACCTCGTGGAGTGGAGTGCGGAGCCTGGCGAGACGGCGACTTCCACCAATGGATGAGCTAGTACAAAACTCCAACGCGCTGTCTGTCATCCGGGGCCCGGTTCTTGGCCAGCTTGCCGCGGATTGTCGTACGTATACGTAGCCGTGCCGGACGGGCCGGTGTACCGCACCACCCGCCTCATCGCGCCGTGTGAAGGGGGAGGCGCGTCGCCGTCGGCCGCGGCACCAGTGTGCCATGCCGTGCCCAGCGCGGCTCGCTGTGGACAGCCGAAGACAATGAGCGTTTTTTACTTGCTGCGTCTCGTCCATTCTCGCAGTGTGCCGCCAGCCTCTGTTTAGTGGCCCAATTTCAGCGTTGCGCCGATTGCTGTTCCTGTGCAGCAGTTTCGTGGCTGATTAAATGTTCTAGAAAAAATTTCTCAATAAAATGTTCTACAGATTACAACCTTTTTAGACACATGTGGTTCGGCACAAATGCTACGCAATTCCTATTCGGTGCTTCAGGCGCCGCATATAGTTTGTTTTGCAAATGGCGCACAACTCCCAGCGCGCACCTGCATAGAAAATAGGCCGACCCATGCCCATGTACACCATCAGGCTTTATGAGGATTCTAGAAGTTTCCTGCCGGTTTTGTGAAACTTCTAAAAGCTTTTGACCGAGTTTTCTTAGTTTTTTTTTCCTTTTTATGTTTCGTTTTCCATTCTCTCATTTTCCCATTTTCGTGAACTTTTTTTCAGTTTGTAAAAAATCCCAAACATATTTCAAGTTCATGAACCACTTTTCAAACTCATGAACTGTTTTCAAATTTGTGAACCTTTTCTTTTAAATTACTAAACATTTTTTTATTCACAATTTTTTCTTTCAAATTTGTGACCTTTTTTTGTATTCATGAACTTGTTTCAAATTCGTCAACTTTTTTTCAATTTCATGATTTTTTAAATAGCGAATTTGTGCAAATTCATGAACTTTTTTTGCAAACTCGTGATCTTTTTCAAGTTTGTGAACTTATTCTTTAAAATTCATGAACTCGTTTATATTCATGAACTTTTCATTCAAATGCATGATCATTTTTCAATTCAGTGAACACTTTCTTATTCGCGAATTTTTTAAAAATCCGTGCCCTTATTAGTATTTCATGAACTTTTTGTACTTCGCCGGCATTTTCTAAATCCGTTAACTTTTCTCAGTTCACTATTTTTTTAATTCGTAAACTTTTTAAAATTCATGAACTTCTCAAACGCGTAGAAAAAAATTCATGAATACTAGAAAAGATTCATAAACGTGCAGCTGTTTCATGGCTGGTTAAATGTTTTAGAAAAAAATTCTCAAGAAAATGTTCTAGAGATTACAACTTTTCTAGAAACGTGCAGTTCGGCACAAATGTCACGCAATTCCTACTCGGCGCTTCAGACGCCACATATAGGTAGTTTTGCAAATGGCGCATAACTCCCAGCGCGCACCTAAGGCGTCATCGTCATTGTGGCCGACAAGGTTGACAGCAGGCTTCCGCCTGGAGCATCCCATCCTCCTCTTCTCCGCGTGGCCAGCCGCCGAGTCTGGCAACGCAGGCCTCCTTACCTAGCTTCCGGACCACAGTGAGCGTCCCCGTTACGTCCAGAAGAAGGCGTCCGAAGCCACAATCGCTTACCTCGAGCACCTACACATACCGGAGTCAGGAAGGACCTTGCCGCCGCCTGCACACAATCCCTCTCCGCCAACCACTACACTCGACCGCCACCACAACAGACCCCGCCGACCCCCCAGCCGCAGCCCCGATGACCTACGGCCGTGCGAGCCGCTGCCCAAGAAGCCAGATCTGAAGCAGAGGATTTGCCTAGATCAAGCAAGACAGCACACCCAGGCCACCATGCCACCAGAGCGGTACGCTGTCCAGCACCTCTACATCGCTCCGTCGTGCCCCGTCGTAGCCATGGGACAGTCGGATGGGGTAGCCGCCGCCCCCAAGGAGCCAGATCTGGCGCCGAAGCTCCCATGGACAGCAGCGGCAGGTTCCCCGGGCGACCAGCCCCCCGTGTCTCTGCATCGTCCGCGCCGCTGCACTGTGCCACCGCTGGACGCACGCGAGTCTCCTCCGCCCGCGCCGCCGCACTGTGCCACCGCAGGTCGCGCGCGAATCCCTGCCGCCAGATCACGCCCTGCGCCGCCACGCCCGGACAAGAGGAAGGGAAACACCGTCCCTGCCGCCACCGCACGGGCTTTGCTCGGGGATGCCCTCAGGTGGCGGCTGAAGGAGAATGGGGATGAGTGGTGGAGGAGTCGACATCGGCTAGGGTTTCTCCCGGGCCGCCCGCGCGGGAGCACACGGCTTGTACTAAAATTTCTATACATACATTTTTCACCGGATGGAGTGAGTATTGTTTTGGTATGTGTGATTTTACTTTATAAAATGAGTAACTAGCTATGTTATTATATGTCTCTTTTTCATCATTAATTACTAACTATATTATATATTTTGTCTAGATAAATATGATGTTATCATCTATATTTATGAAGGAACACGGACGCGCGTGGTTCAGGCTAATTAGCGCGTACTGATCGGCTGGGTCACGCGCATGGTCAAATCTTCATCCAACATACGAGGAAGTCCAATAAAATAAGTGTGTGGGCGTGTATACGAGCATCTATTATTATACTGTGCTCAAATATAAAAACATCAAACTAATCTAGTCTATTATGCCAAGAATTATATAATATATCTCATAATGCGCCTGTTGCGTCATGGTTGCCACTCAGAATATGAAGGCACCTTCTGTGTGATTTTTTCTAATTTCTTCAAGTATCTATTCTCTTGCTCTTTGAGAAATACTACTACTCTTGTTTGTTCTGTGAATACGACGGATTGTGGTATTTGAGTTCTGATGTAATCTCATGCCCTTTCACTAAACCAACTACCCCGTGTGTCAGCCATTAGCCTGTCAGATTGAGTAGAATATTCCTTGAGTGGTTGGCATGCCACGGATACTGCTAAGGGCAGCAACGAGAAATTATTAATTTGTAGGGAAATGTTTTACGTCAGCGCGCTGGCCGAACGCTCGGCCGACTTCGTGCCTCGTCACGCACAACACCCACACACACATATAGCCACGTCTCCCCCGACGTGGGCCCGTGCAAACCGCATCCAACCTTATTCATCCTTTTCCGGTTCATTCTCATCTTCCTCCTCTCGTTCCACCTCCACACGCTCCCTGCGACGTTCCCCCATAGCCCCGACATCCCTCCCATCTACAGCTGTTTCCTCGCTGCTCAGGGCGCCGACGGCGAGAATTTACGGCGCGCACGTCAGTGACTACACCCCGGCATCAGCGGCGAGCTACTACCTCAACCGGCAGGCTTGACGATGGAGCACGCACATGCTACAACTGGCTGGGGTGAGAGCTGCAACCACATACTGGTTTTGCTGGAAGCAGTGATGGCGGAAAGCTGTGGGGGTTCACCTCGACGAGCCACGGAGGTCGCCATGGCAAGTTGGACTAGAGTTTGGTCGGGTGCTGCTGCAACCATGGATCAGGTTTGCTGGAACTGGCGGAGTGTTCTGCTGGAAGTATCCCCAAAAATTGCTTTCATCAGAGTTGTTCTTGCTGGACCAGCAAATTTTTGCTACAACCATATCTTTATTTTGCTAGAAGTAGTCCCAAAAATTGCTTCCATCGGAGTTTGTTCTTGTTGGACGAGTAAATTTTTGCTACAACCATATCTTTATTTTGCTAGAAGTAGCCCCAAAAATTGCTTCCATCGGAGTTCGTTCTTTTAATGGACCAACAATTTTTGCTACAACCGTGCCTTGTTTTGCTGGAACCACCTTTTTCAAATGATTCAATGGGGGCCTCCGCAGATAGCTCTTTTTTACAACCTTTTTTTTCTTGCAGGCGTCGATGGCGAGCATCTGCGGCGAGTGTTGACGGCGAGGTCAAACGGGGGAGGGTGGATGATGTCGCTTGAAGCTACGTCGGTATTTTCCCAAAGAGGAAGTGATGATGCAGCACATCGGCGGTAGGTATTTCCCTCAGATATGAAACCAAGGTTATCGAACCAGTAGGAGAACCAAGCAACACAACGTAAACAACACCTGCACACAAATAACAACTTCTCGCAACCCGACGTGTTAAAGGGGTTGTCAATTCCTTCTCGGGTACGGCGCCTCAAGATAGGCAAACGTACGTGAGGTAAATTTGTAGTATATTGATAGATTGAATGCCAAATAAATAAATATAAATAAATTGCAGCAAGGTATTTTTGGGTTTTTTGTTTAGTAGATCTGAAAATAAATGCAAAGAAAAATAGATTGCAAAGGTAAATAATAAGAGAAAGAGACCCGGAGGCCGTAGGTTTCACTAGTGGCTTATCTCGAGGAAAATAGCAAATGGTGGGTGAACAAATTACTGTTGGGCAATTGATAGAACTTCAAATACTCATGACGATATCCAGGTAATGATCATTACATAGGAATCACGTCCAAAATTAGTATACCGACTCCTACCTGCATCTACTGCTATTACTCCATACATCGACCGCTATACAACATGTATCTAGTGTATTAAGTTCATGGAGAAACGGAGTAATGCAATAAGAACGATGACATGATGTAAACAAGATCTATCTATGTAGAGATAGACCCCATCATTTTATCCTTAGTAGCAATGATACATACGTGTCGGTTCCCCTTCTATCACTGGGATCAAGCATCGTAAGATCGAACCCACTACAAAGCACCTCTTCTCATTGCAAGATAAATAGATCAAGTTGGCCAAACAAAACTCAAATATCGGAGAAGAAATACGAGGCTATATGCAATCATGCATAAGAGAGATCAAAGAAACTCAATTACTTTCATGGATATAGAAAGATAGATCTGATCATAAACTCAAAGTTCATCGATCCCAACAAACACATCGCAAAAGAGTTACATCATATGGATCTCCAAGAGACCATTGTATTGAGAATCAAGAGAGGAAGATGAAGCCATCTAGCTACTAACTACGGACCCGAAGATCTACAAAGAACTACTCACGCATTATCGGAGAGGCACCAATGGAGGTGGTGAACCCCATCTGAGATGGTGTCTACATTGGATCTGGTGGTTCTGGACTCTGCGGCGGCTGGATGAATATTTCGTCGACTCACCTAGGGTTTTGGGAATATTGGAGTATTTATAGAGCAAAGAGGCGGTCCGTGGGGCACCCGAGGTGGGCACAACGCACCAAGGCGCGCATGGGCCTCCTGGCGCGCCCTGGTGGGTTGTGCCTTCCTCAGGGCACCCCCCAGGCGCAGCCAGGGCCCGTTGTGTTCCTTTTGGCCCATAAAAAATTCTTCGTAAAGTTTCATGGCATTTGGATTCCGTTTGATATTGATTTTCTACGATGTAAAAAACATGGAAAAACAACAACTGGCACTTGGCACTATGTCAATGGGTTAGTAACAAAAAATGGTATAAAATGACTATAAAATGATTATAAAACATCCAAGATTGATAATATAATAGCATGGAACAATCAAAAATTATAGATACGTTGGAGATGTATCAGCATCCCCAAGCTTAACTCCTACTCGTCCTCGAGTAGGGAAGTGATAAAAAACAGAATTTTCGATGTGGAATGCTGCCTAACATGCCATATCATATTTCTTTCTTTATAGCATGGACATTTGGACTTCTATATTGTTCAAAGCAATAGTCTATTTTTGCTTAAATACTCAAGCATATTGTTCAAGCATATTGACAGTCGGATTATATCCTTTGGTCGGACTGTTGGATTATGAAGATACAAGATTGAAGACTTCGTCCCGTGTCCGGATGGGACTCTACTTGGCGTAGAAGGCAAGCTAGGAAATACGGATATGTATATCTCCTCCTTTGTAACCGACCTTGTGTAACCCTACCCCCCTCCGGTGTCTATATAAATCAGAGGGTTTTAGTCTGTAGGACAACATACAATCATACCATAGGCTAGCTTCTAGGGTTTAGCCTCTCCGATCTCGTGGTAGATCAACTCTTGTACTACTCATATTATCAAGAATAATCAAGCAGGACGTAGGGTTTTACCTCCATCAAGAGGGACCGAACCTGGGTAAAACATCGTGTCCCCTGCCTCCTGTTACCATCCGCCTTAGACGCACAGTTTGGGACCCCCTACCCGAGATTCGCCGGTTTTGACATCGACATTGGTGCTTTCATTGAGAGTTCATTTGTGATGTCACCATAAGGAAGGATGCCTCATCTCGTTGTTAAAAACAACATTACCGCCGGTCGCTGGGGGAGCCCTGGCTGTCGGCCAAACTCTCCTGCTAGGCAGTTTTGTCATGACCGCCTGTTCGGCTGCTGCATCGACGATGACTTCTCGGGTCATCGAAAACAACCTCCATGTCGGCTCGGAATTCGCCGAGCAGATGGATCCAATGGAGCTCTCTTCCCTAAACGAGCTCTTGGATCGCATCGCCGCCTTGGGAGTCGCTATGGACTATGATCAGATTGGGCTTAAACCCGATCAAAGGGAGATTAACTCTCCACCGGTCACCCATCATGTTGCGGTGGTGGAGGAACAATGCGGCGATTCCTCCTCTATCTTGAGGACTAACTATGTCCGAATTCCTGATCTCTCCGAGCCGGATACCCATTTACGGGAGGACATCATCCAAACCCTGAACCTAGAGTCAGGCAGCGGGCCAGACTCATCGGGCAACATCCCAGAATCCGAACTTCCAAGATCGGAAACTCCTCGGCCCCTGGGTCTCAGATCGGGTAGGGGTTCGGACTCAAAACCACCCACCCACCCAGACATAAACAATCTTTCCCACATCAGGCAAGAGCCCCATGAAACAGTACATCATTATTGGGCCAGATTCCTCCTTGTGATGAACAAGGTTAAGGACTGCCGCGAGGAAGACGCAGTCTCACTTTTCGGCAATAACTGCACGGACAAGGGAATCCTTAATGCCATAAGTCACCGTGACATATCACGCTTCGCCGACTTGGCGTCCATAGTACGAAAGTACTGTGCAATGGAAAGTGCCTCGAAAACCGAAATGAAATTTTGGGATAATCCGGCTCCGAATATACACCTAGTCTGAGGTAAAAGGGTGCACTATCATAAGACACCCGAGTTAATTACAAAGAAGCAAAAACCCTCTATAGGGCATGGAACCGTATTGGAGGGATGGCTTAACGGACCCTGCAAAATTCATAGCACAGCGGTTACCATACCAACGCACAGCCTTAGAGCATGTTGGATACTTCGGCAGGTGGCCAAAAGTGGTGAGGATCTTCTCATCCCAAATACCACAGAGCACCATCCCGTGGATAACAATACGGTATTAACAGTTTTTGAAACCTTCGCATCAAATAATAGGCGCAAGCGAACACTCCGCAGCCTCGCCGAAATCTGCCACGTAGCAGCAATGAATCCATGGAGTGACACGGCTATTACCTTCAATGCCAGTGACGAACCTAAATTCCGAACTGCTCGAGCACCA